AAAAAATAATAAATTAATAATATGAGAAATATAATGAAAATGAACACAGTCCATGTACCTAGGCTGCCCAGAATTTCCAGACACCTCTCCCCTGTTCTGATATGCATGTACGTATGTTGTAGAGGTACACTCATGCATATGGTTTAGCATTGAAAAATAACACTGAGTTTGAGGGCAAAAGCAAAAAGGGCTGGAAGATGGCCTGTGAACTTTCTAGCAACAATTATCCTTGTTAAGTAAATAAAAAACAAGGCCACATTGAAATCAACTGTTAGAATCATGTTGGAGTATATCACATGCAACTAATTTTCTGGTCTGCAGGGTATTTACAACTGATGCTTTCCTTTGTATCATTCCTAGAAATCTACACATTACAAAAAGGTATTTTTAAAACTCTGTTTATGCTGAAATGTTTGACTTCTGGGTCCTGAGACAGGCAAAAGAATTGATCCTTTGAATTTTGTTCGGTGTGATCTCAGGCAAACAGGCAACAGCATACTTGTGTGTCTGCTATAAATGCTCTTTGAACTATAATCCTGAAAACAAGTGTGTTATTGGGTAACTTTGGCAGCATGTGTTCCAAAACCTAAACATGTTTATCTCTTGTATTTTATAGTTGCTAACTGAAGGGTCAGCTGAGTTAGCCCAGTACTGAAGATTCCGCTCTGAGCTTAAAATGCATTTAAATCACGGCAGAAGGTCTTGTACAGGACTCTGCCTTTCTCTGAAATCTTGGGGCAAATTTTGATCTTTTCTGTACATGTAGAATTTATTTAACATTCTGTATTCTAGAAAACCTAAAGATCTTGTATGAAACAGCCAATATTTTTTACTTTAATTTGGGGTTTCAGCTCTTCTGTGATCTCTTCCCACTGCTTGTGTGATGCAAACGAGTAGAAATTATACACATCCTCTCAGCAGTTTCCAACTAGGTCTTCAGCATGCAGCTATGTATTGGAAGTCTGATGATCCTGGGTAGCCCATCATGCACAGATGATCACTGCCAGCCATCACACAGTCCCTGGGCTGCCCTATGGAGTCATATGTGTCCATGGGGAGCCATAAGAGACTCAAGTGCTTCTGGTCTCCCCTCTGCCAGGAGTGTCCCAGCTTCATCAGAAAATCTGGCACAGCCTCTGATTGTGAGCCACCAATTTCATACTAGGATTTGGACATGAGCAGAAAGCAGTGGATGGGGTTAACTGTGCTCTTAACCGAGGATATTTACACACATAAGAACCCACTACCCTGATGAAGTTAAATATTTAAATCGCATGTTTTAAGGACTGTTGTTTCTGTACCTTGACTTCAGCGGGTGACTACAGTAAATGTACATTACCTCTCTCAGAGTGGTTTTGTTGTGATGCTCTGGGCAGTCTGTCCAGTAACTATTCCTCTGATGTTTAAATAAATAATTGCTTGCCAGTTACACCATCACGGCAGCACACAAACCAAGCTCTTTGTAGATCTTTTGCACAATCTAAGTTCATTGTGTGTGTGGAGTCCTTTGAAATTACGTCTGTGATTTCACCAGGGTCCTGACTTCACCAGGGTCCTAACTTTCTGGTGTTCTTCAGTGCAGGTTCAAAAGAGTTTGCCAGTAATCCTTTTGAGAGGCATCTGTCACCTGCAGTGCATACAGTGTTTGTCACCAGTCCTCTCTCCTGCAACCCTGAGGGGCATTGCAGGAAATCAAAGCATTCATCAGGCAGCAAAGAAATGGAAGGATAAAGAATATAAAGAAGATTAGAGGATTAAATACACTCCTCCCTCCCTCCTCCAGGCATTCAATATTCTTCTCCTTCTCTGTTGGAAGTGTAGCCATCAGCTGTTTAAACTTAATTGTTGTTCTTCCTTTGTCTTGGTGAGGCTGGAAAAGAGTAGAGCTAGTTGACGTTGCAAGAAGCAGAATGCCAGAGACCCAGGCAGGTAAATAAAAATATCCTTCCTAAAAATTGGCACTGGCCCAAGCATGACTTTCATAATTTTTTGTTAGCACTTTGCTCTAATTTTTGTAAATTTCCCAGCCACATGAAGAAACCCTTTCAAACTGAGCCGAATAAAGCAAATAGCAACCTGTTTCTCAGGTTTTTCAGCCACTGTCAAGCCACTCCATTTATACAATCTCACTATCATGACAAAAACCCAGCGAGCTCTCATCTCATGCCAGCTGCCACAGCCCTGTTGTGCAACACCCTACTGAAGCTAGACTGCCACTGACCCTGCATTTCTTTCACCATATCCTACCTTTAGCCCACTTTCACTTTGCAGATCTGTTCAAGAATTCATATTTATTATTCAAATAAGAGCACAACCTAAGAGCAACCGTACTGAGTCAGGTCAAAGGTCTATTCTAGTAACCTGTCTTTAACTAGCCCACGGTAGATCCTGGGGGAAGGGCATGAGTTACAGGACAAACATGCAAACCTCTCTTTTCCACTTTCTAATTATATGCTGCTTAAGAAATTCTAGGGCTACAGATAATATCTTTTTACTACTTTGTAGCAAATATTTCGTCCATGAGATTGAGTAATTATGTTTGAATCTAGCTAACTTTTGGAATCCACAATATCTTCTGAAAATGAGTTTAATGAGACTGAAGTTGTAAAAATCATTTTCTTACATTTTGGGTTTTTTTACAAGTTGATACTTCAGCATTTCATTTGATCCCTTCTGGTTCTTTTGCTTTAGTTCATTTAGATATGTTTTATAACAGCTCACTTCAGCTTGCCGGGAAAGGAAAGAAAATAGGGGTGTTCTGCATCTCACAGGATTAAACCTAACAGGAATTTTGTCAATGGGAACAGCATGCACCCCATGGAGCTGGGAGCCAGCAAAAACCCCAAAGGGAGAAGAGGGCAGAAACTACAGTTATTAATAATCATCAGGCAAAGCAGTTTTGTAAGAAAGCAGGTTATATTCCTTGCCACGCTCACAACAAACATCTGCAGCTCTCTAGCAACAGAACCACTTTACCACGGGAACTTTGCTTTCCATTCTTCCCAGAAATCAGAAAGAGAGAGAGAAGAAAAAAAAAAAAAATCAGTACTTGAGAAAAGAATGCATGTGCTGTAGCCACCATCAAAATTGTCTTTTCACAAACAGCAAAATGGGTTAGATTCTTTTCCTAAGCCATCCAGTCTGAGCTTTTCATTGTTTTTCACCTCGGTATTTCACCTGCCTCTCAGTACCATACAAATCTAATGTGCAATGCTATTTTGTTTCTAGGCTAAAAAATCAATTTATTCCCATCTGAGTACACTGGCAGATTTTGCAATAGAGATGTTTGACGTTCTTGATGAAATCAACTATCAGTCTTACAACGACTTTGTCCTACGAGTTGGTAAGTCACGTTTCTACAATTATCACACAAGCAGAACATGGTGGTTTGTTGGCTTTCCCTGTGCTGTCTGCAGAGGATTACCTGTGCTGCACTCGTGATTAAAACTGAAAACCCTCCTTTAGTTGGAGAGTCACATCCATGTAGAAGGTCAGCAGGCTGTATGGTGAGCATCAGTATTAAGGAATTACAGTGTCCAATTCCAGTGTGTTTACTTAATCTATGCACCCCTAAAAGGAAACTGCACCAATAATTTTATACAATATTATTAGTGTACCCAGTCTTGTGGCTTACACTGCTTTGCATTGCTAAACTGCTGAAAACTGGGTCTGACTGTACTTAACTATTAAGTTGCATCTGCAGAAGCTTTGTTGGTATTAAAAGTGTGATGGGACATTTTTGTCCACAGGCGCCAAATCACCTCAAACAGTCCCTTTTTCTCCAACAAATCAAATCCTCCGGTCTTCACAACAATGCAATCCTTTACATGTTATTACATGTCTTATCTCTCAGAGTCCTTTCTCCCAGCCTTCTTGGAGAGCAAGTTCCCCTCTTCCCTTCCTTCCCTGCATCCTGCTCCTCTGCAATGGTACTTCCATTGCTGTTCTCATTTCATTGCATATTCTAACACAGATAGTTTTCTCCAGCTGCTTTCTCTATATATTTTCATGGCTGAATTGTGAGAATGGGCTGGACAGAGGGAAAAGTGAGGTTGCTAGCAGCAGAAGACTGAGAAAGACCAAAGACCTCAAGGGTAGCAATAGGAGAGTTATAGATCTTTGCCCTCTTGTACATCCTAATAATTTTAAACCCCAAATTCTCTTTGAACTCTGTTATAACTGGTCTTTCCAGTTTCACAAAGGGGCAGAAGACAAATGTCTAACCCCCATTCTTCTGCATAACTTGCCTGGGAAAGCCCTTGCACAGAACCTCACACAGTGTTTAGCATCTGCAGCTCTTCAGAGCACTCAGAAGAAGGAACATCCTCTTTTATCTTCCGAACAAGGTGTCAAAATCAGTCAGAAATGTAGAATCGAGCCCTGTGGTTTCCCAAAAAAGATGCTTGAACCGTTTTCATATACTCTTGTCTTCTTCCAGTGTCTCCCTGATCTGAGTTGTCTAGTACTGACTACCAATGTGACACGGTTCCTTTACCCCATTCCTTGTATCCTCCAGGCCACTATTTCTGTTCCACGTGGAAAATCTCCATTAAAAGGCTTTATATGAGCAACCACAGTGGAAGTCATAGCAAACAATTAAAGATCTTTAACAGTTTGTCCTGAATTGTTCTACAGCTAAACTCTGCACTACCACTACTTTTCTTCTTTTCTTAAAAAAAAAACAAACAAAAAAAGAAAATCCACAGATGAGACAAATTTTTATGTTGTCTATCACATTGCATTTCCAATAAGATATCTCTGTGTATGTCTTTATCTTGTTTCTAAAGCTCTTACAAATACAGAAGTCCAATAGCATTAATTTAACATATATTATGTCCTATGACCAGAAAATTCTAAGGCACTTGTGTTAAATCTATTTTGCAGGATTCATGTTTGCCTTGGATAATACGCTGTAGTGTTTGAAACCAAAGTCATTGTTTTGATTTTAGGTATTAATGTTGGGCCAGTAGTGGCTGGAGTCATTGGAGCGAGAAGACCACAGTATGATATCTGGGGGAACACTGTAAATGTTGCCAGCCGGATGGATAGTACTGGAGTGCAGGGGAAAATTCAGGTGAGTGCATTCTGAGACAATTTTGCAAACATACCTCCTGTTTTGTATGTGGTTACATTTTCAAGACCACTTAGAAAACACGACCTCACTTGATCTTGTGGTTCTTATGAAAATGGCAACATTCTCCAGATGATTCAAGCATCAGAGGTATAGTTGTTTTCGTTTATATACGCTTCACTACTTGGAGGCAATGAAATCCTCAAATAAATCATTTCCCATCAGAAGAAACAGAGTTCTCTGCTGCATTGCACACAGTTGGAGGCAAGCCTGGGAATGCCGAGGAATTTTGCCTGAATAAGGACTACTAGGAAAGGATCTATGTCCATTTGCATCCTGCTGCATTTTATGTAGCTTTGAAAATTCCTTGGACACTTTGGATCGGAGAGGCTACACAGACAGAAAACATTGTTGTTCTACTAGAACTTGCCTAGAAGCTATGCTGCACCTCTCAAAATCTTAATGAACTCTTGCAGTCCTTTATCCAAAATACCTGCCTAGTCTCCAGGGATGAAAAGTTCTTCTGGAGTAAATTAACGTCACTGGAACTGATCCAGCTTACAACAGTGGACAATTTGGTTACACATTTCTGTTGGATGGAGCTTAATCTGGCTGTGTAATTATTCAGCTCAAGACCAGAAGTTCTGCTTCTCAGATTCCAGTTTGGTCAGTGATTTTTAATTCCTTAAGAAAATTCTAAGTGAGCCCGAGAGCAGCAGTAGGTACTAATTCATTCTGCTTATGCGTATTTCATGACAGAAAAGTAAAATGGGGAGGGGTGGGCAGTTCTAGGATTAACCTTATATGAGCAGGAAAAACTAATAGTTCTTTTTTTTCTGTCTTCAGGTGACAGAAGAAGTTCAGCGGATATTAAAAAGGTGCAGTTATGAATTCATGTGCAGGGGTAAAGTCAGTGTAAAGGGAAAAGGCGAAATGTTGACCTATTTCCTAGAAGGAAAGGCTGATGGAAATAATTCACAACCACGGTCTTTAAACTTAGAGCGGAAAATGTACCCTTACGGGAGGGCAAACATTCAAACAAAACTGGGCACCAGCTCTCCGTCAGTATCCTCAGTTGCTAGCTTTACTGTAAAAGCTGGGCTTGGAGCAGGTCAAGCATCTGCCACTCACACAAATCAAACACTGCATTATCTTCCTTCTGTGCCAGCTGTGAAGGAGGCGTAGAGCGGAGGAGATTTGATTGTGCCATTTGCAGTGAACCTGGAGAGCAATGGTTGCCTGAATTTTTACCAAGAGATCAGAGGTCATAGGCCATGGCATTAACCAAGGACCACTACAACCCAACCAAAGAGAACTTGGGGACTGTAATGAACTCTTGGGATGGAACATAAAAGGGCTAGCAATTCTGTTAGGAAAAGTCAAAACCTGATTTTCTGGAAATGAGGAATATTTTCTTGGCATTTTTAAAGGGAAAATGAAAAAAAAAGAGATAAACGTGCAAGCAATTATTTATGTGTGTGTGTGTATATAAATGTTTTAATCTATATATGCACATATACAAACAGTCCTGTGTAAACTTAATAGAGATTTATAGAGATAAACATAAAAATACGTATTTATTTACACATCCACCTGCAATGACATAGCAAAGAGATTTCTCTTTCTGTCATACCCAGCATTGTTGAGTCTGGGATTAGCAAAGCTGCATTTAACTGTGAAGTGTGGGGCAGCTGGAGACTCTCCAGGGTTACAGCAAGAGTTAGAGAAACTGTGCTCCCAGCGCATGAGTTAGTTAAAGCAATGAGAACAGTGTTCATTGTGCTGTCAATGGCAGATTAATGAAGGCTGGATTCAGCTAATTGATAAACCCTATATATTTTTTAAAATTCTCCTTGCATGCTCCAAAAACTTCAAAAAAATTCCAATTCAAACCATAACACTAGGATATGAAGTAGAAAAACCACAGAGCTTAAATGTTTGGCAGAAGAACAATATATTTTCTTTCCATTTAAAAAAAAAAAAAGGTGGTAGAGTTTAGAAGTTGCTGCCTCTTCACAGGTCATTTGACTTTGTGCAAGACAGAGCAGCACCCTGCAAGCACAGCAATATGCTTATGCAATATAGAAACATTCCTTTATGTACAGTGCTGATTTTATTGAAGAGCAGAAGGATGGTATTATTTCAGGCTTTTACAAACAGCACAGGTCCTGTGGCTCAGTTCCAGGATTTAGCTTTACCTTTCTAAACAGCTCAAAGAATAGTCCTGTACTGGTAACAAACATGCTGTTGCTAGCTTTGTGATATTTGTATGTTTGCCAACATAGTCTTACATCTTAATTGATTTTTAAATTTATGCCACAGTTTTATTATCTCGTGATTCTACCCAGGCTCACTCTTCAAAGCTGTACAATTATAGAAAGCTATAATTCTGAGAAACAAGCACAGTCAAACTTTGCCCAAATGAGGAGCACACTGGTATATGTGCCAGGAGAGTGAGGCCTGCTCTTAATCTGCATAAAAGGCAACAAATTTTGACTCCTTTTTCCTTTAATGCAGCCCACATCCTATTGTTCATGGTTTCATTTTGAAATGCTGATCTGGATGTGAAATGTGGAGTGCAGCTCCATACTCGAGATGGGGGCAGTTGGAGGTCATCCTGCTGCGTGACATATGCTCCATGGATAGGTGCCATACTGTCCTGATGGGGATGCACAAGCTAACCAGCCTCACTGCTTTCCAAAAAAGAAGCAAAACTTTATGTTGTCTAAAAACATGCAAAACTTCCTTTTAACTAAAAAAAAAAAAACAAACCCAAACACAAACCAAACCCAAAAAACCCACCCAAGACTGCAGAAGTTGTCCAGATTGTACAGTAGAAAACTTGCCTGTAGTAGATGTCACATTTCCCTCTGGTGGGCCTATTGTATTACTGATTTCAGTGGAAAGAAGATTATGAGCGATTCTCCCGCAACCAGCATTTGCTTTAGAGCAGTCACTGTTTGTGTTAAAAGTATATGGACAAATACTGTGTCAACAGATGCAAATGGTTAAAAAATGCTGCAGGAGTTTCCATTCTCCATGTAGCCATATCAGGCTGCTGTGGGATTCCAATGGTTTTCAGCAGAGTTTTTAATTAATTTCTATGTACCCTGTCAGCTAGGTGCTTCATTACAAAGCTAGCAAAATTAGTCTTGTGATTAAAATTACTATAAAAAACTGAGAATTGCTTCCTAACTGTACTACGTGTATGCACACTGGCTGATCTGTGGAAAGTCACTGCATTTCTTTATCTCCCTAACAGCTATCCAGTTCACAGGTATTCTTCTAGAATAATTTAATTCTGGTTTTGAGGCATTCAAAGACATTTAAATAAATACATGTAGAGAATACAAATTTAAAAGAATAAATATTTACATAATTAAATTGAATAAGTGGTATCCATGTAAAGCACACTGCATATTTATGTTTTCTCATAGGTTTGTAAGAACTAAATCATCACACAGCTAAGTTAAATATTTAACCAAAATGGAAAGCATTATGTGCAATAGCATTAATCACTCAGTTCCACTCACAAAGAGCCCAAGTTACACAATTTTTGAATCAGTGCATTTGGTATAATTTTACCGATAATAATAAAACGTTATTTTTGCATGTACTGTTATTAAAAGCATCTTCAGATCCTAGCATAGACCAAATACAGCCATTGACCCACCCCAAAAGCTTACAATGAAATTATTTCTTTGTTACTTTTTTAATAGGTCCAAGATACAGGCATGTCGCCATTGTTTCTTTTATCACTAAATGGACAATGAGCAAAAATGAATTATCCCCTGTGCTAATATTTTCGGGACTGTTCTCATTCCCAGACTCATTCCCAGCCTAGTCCCAGAGTAATGTCAGTGGAAGATCATGTAGCAAGGTAAATTTGGATTATTCATTTTAATATTTTAAAAGATTAGCAGGTGCTAGTAGAATTACTCCAAAGTTTTTCTAAGCCTGATCCTCCTCTCCAACAGTCGAATCAGGAACGTGACTTTTGTAAGAATGTTTTCCATGTTGAATGGAAAGGACCAGACAGGCGCAATCCATCATCAGCTTCTCATTCGGCCCTTTTGCAGGAGGTCTGTGCCTCTGGAGCAGGTTGAGGGGACCAGGATGGCTTCTTGGTGCTGCAGCCAGTCCAGTGTGCGTGTGCTAGCTTACAGCATCAGGTGTATTTGGAGTCAGCTTCCAGACTTTGTTTGAGTCCTACCATTAACATTTTTCATATTTTTGTTGTGGTTGTTGTTGCTGGTTTTACTATGGGGAAAACTATATTTTTCTGCATAGTCCTGGACTGAGCAGTACAGAATCATGAAGAAAGTTCAGCCAAGGCACAAATTAGTAAAAAGGCATGTGAAAATCATAGGTAGTGTTCAGCAGCCATTCCAACAGGGAAAGCTAAATGGCCGTTGAAATCATGATATAATGAAGCTATGCTCTTGCCTTTATGCTTTCACTCCCTATTCATATCATTTTTCCCCATTTTCCTTTTCTGTGTACATTTGTTTTATTTCAGCTCTCATGTGATAGCCTTAAATGACAGATTTAATCTCTCTGCTCTACCGAGTTCTTTGATATGTTCAGTAAGTTTTATACATGGGAAGAGGTAGTAGTAATACCTCCAATAACCCCATAAATGCACATTTTCTGCCAAATTAGAGAAGCTTGTCATCAGTTTTTTGTTGGCAATTGGCTGAAGATAATATGTGGCCCACTCCAGTATCCTTGAAAATCATCAGAAGGATTTCCCTGGATTTCTGTGGGATTTGGGTTGTGTCCACCTTAATGCATGCAGTTGTATTTCCTGTCTTGCATTTATTAATTTTCTGGTCAAGCTCTGTAACTTTTGCCTGGGAGACCTTGCTGTAGCCCCAGCAAGGAGTCAATTCTGCCCCAGAGTACCCAAAAGTCCTTCACGTTTAACCGACGATAGTAATTTGTTGCATTGAGGGCAGAATAGCCTCTTCCTCTTCTATTCGCTGTTTTGTGCAGCTGTCAGCTTGAAACAATTAACAGATACAAGCCCTACAATAAAGTGATGCCATTTTGGCATGTTGATGTCTGTCAATAGCAAGCACAATATTTCACATCAGTTTGCACGTTTTCTCTTTCAGATAATAGTAATAATTGAAGTCTTTCGTTCTTTATATAAGCAGATAAGTATGAGAGATCTTCAGACTTCACTGTCTTGGGAGCTAATTTCAAAGTGTTCCTATGCTACCTTTATCTTTAAATGATTTTTTAATTATTATTCTCTGCTGAGATTACAAACTGGCATTCTATTGAATTACTGGCTAGATATTTCCAAACATTTTCCACTTGCATTGACTAGAAAGCTGTTTTATCCAGCCTGTAAAATGCATTGTTTTTTGTAGCTGCTTCCTGCTGTGGCAAGTCGTACTCCCTTGTCTTCACTAAAAAACACGCAAATTCTCCCTTGCTTTCTCTAGGTGAGACTGAGAGCCAAAAGCTTCAGCTTGTTAGGGCTGAATCTGCATCCCTTATGTACCCACAAGGCCTGCAGAAATCAGCAGGAGTTTAGCATGTTATGAAGGTCAGGAGTTGAGCGTCTGTAGGCCAAGTTCTGCTTTGGGTTACAGCGATGTCTTGCATTGGTACTGAACTGAATATTTTACAATACTGTAACCGAGAGTAGGTCATACGCCTAAATCTCTTTCACACTTTTGCCTGTAATTTATCTGTAAGGCAAAAGAAAGTACTTGGGAGTCACTGTTTGAAGGGAAACAGTATATGACCTGTGCCATTTCAGTGCTTTGACAAGTTTGAACACATTAGTAAGTAGCATGAATCATTTTCATGTGTTGAATTCCTGCTTGAAGCAGAAACAAAGCGTGTTCTTTACATCAGCAAGTCCAGATTCTGTATGTGTTCTGTGCAGGCAGGAGGACTATTTAGCCATAATGTTCTTTCAAGTTAGAGTTTTGTATTACAGTGAAAACCAACATTTTTTAATTTGTGATAAACCTGTATTATAATGCCTTATTTATTTTTAATCTTGTACAGTGTTACAAAACAACAGAAAACATTGGCCTTTCATGTATTATTCACTTTAAAAGATGTATTGTATTATGAAATTTTGTAAATAGTTTTAGCTCAGACAGGTAATTGCATGTACACTTGTATAAAAAGAGGCAAAAAGGCACACTTTTAACAAATGTTAACAATTTTTGTAAGAGACATTTTACATGTGCATGGAGATTATAAATCCTTTGGAAATGGACGTCCTTTTGCTTTTCCTTGCAATCTATTGCATGCCACTCATGCCTGACTTCAGTAAAACAAAACAAAACAGTAAGTTTTCCTAAATGTTTTTGACATATCACTTCTGGCACAGAGTTAAATCCACTAGTTGCATGTGCGTTCAGCAAAGCAAAATCAAAATACAAACGGCAAATAAAGAAGAA